AAGTACAGTCGAACCTCCAACAACGACCATCTCCAGCGACGGTTACCTCTAAAAACGACCATTTTTGAGCAAAATTGCATATAAAATAACCTCCAAACAGTGGCAGTGGCATCATTGGCCGTTCTTTAGAGGTTTTTGACGGTATTATTCTAGAAAATTTGAACAGTTTAACTAATTGAAAAGTACTAAACATCACAACCAAAGTTGCAAAATTATTCAATAAAAAAACAAAAAATTTCTATTAAATCTGTGTACTATAATGCTCAACAGATGGGGAGCAAACAGCTTAAAGACGTCACTTAAAATTGTCCTGGTGGAACAGCTTCCAACTGGCTGTTTATCCGCAGGACCACCTAATTAATTTCATATTGACTTCCCGTTTTGAATATATGTAGCTGCTCATATCGTCTCATCAATCATTCGATTCTCTAATAACCTCTCGCAGATTTATTGGGGGGGGGAGAAGATGCAAAATATATTTATTTTCGAAAAGACATTATATTAAAGAATATAACATCAGTAAGTCAACTGTTGTTACGCGTGATTGTTGTCACGAAATTCTCTTGTTTTGTCAACTCTCGATTACAATCAACAGAAACAGATCTAACCTCTTATGCTAGCCTTCTCTCTGAGTAATTATGTGGCTTACTGTACATTTTGATGAGGTCTTCTTAATGACTAGCATATAATTAATTCATCACTCGGACTAAACACGCGAAGGAGAGATACACTTTACATACTTTATCTTCCGACTGAGAAGAAACGAAGTTACGGGAAACGGGGAGTTTACGTACAACAAACCATGGAAAAATGTAGAAGAGAAGATGGAGGAAAAAATGTCCGAATTTAAATGTGGCATTTATTCATTTGTTAAATTCTCATTAAAATCGACTCAAGTCTTTATTAGATCGACAGTTTGCAATCTGTTGTTAGTGGCCACCTGTGACGCTCGTCGAATTAATGGAATCTTAATAGACAAGTTGATTATAATTCTGCAAAACATCCTCGACATTTTCTATTTTCTTAACCCAATATCGCTTAATCTAATTAATTCGGCGAGATAGAAATTCGGATTCTTTCATTCCGATTCCAACTTTTATCAATTTTCTTCTATTGTCTTCTGTAATTCGATATTTTTCCGATAGATGGCGGAGTTTTCTTAGTTACTAAATTAGTATCCCCAATGTAATTTGTTCCCGTGGCTGCACTTTTTATGGTTTAAACAACACCAAATGCAATTTATGGTGTGTGTGTGTATTTGCCAGGCATTTTGAGGCGAATTCTGTATAAATAACCGAAAAAATTGCATACGTATGTGGGGCCTAAACGAGGCCCTAAGCTGCAGGCCTCACGTTTTTACATGTAGTGTAGAAGAAGGGCCTGGTATACGTTTTAGCTTATGTCCACCAGTTTAAGTCCAGTTCTCATTGCGTGTGATCTATTCAACCTTTAATGAAGGGATAATGTATGTGGATCTTCTTATTCTTAGAATTACACCCCACGTGTAAGAGAATTCCACGAAGAAATTGTAGTATTCTCTTTCTACGATTAGGGGTAATTAATTTGTAAATGCTACTACAGAATTAATGCTTAAAGCATAAAGTACAGCGACGTATTATCTCCTACAGGTCTAAGGAATGCAAGGAAGAAAATCGACTTACTGGAGAATAAATGGAATTTATCTGTATAGGATTTTCTTTTAGATTAAGATAAGTAGCTTAATGAAAATACTAGTATAGGAACAACGCTATCCAGGCCACATCAGTAGATCTAGACTCTATAATTATACCAAATTTTCTACTTTGGCAATTAAGGTAAAGCTTTCTCAGGCAACAATTAATATCTGTTCATTAATAAAAGGGAAGAAATATAGCCCCGAATTAAAAAGAAGAAGAGAATTCATAAAACAATATTATCTTTCAGCATGAAGGGATCCTGGTAATAATTTGTAATTCGTAATTTGTCAATTGTGCACAAAAGAAACATCTAATCGAAGTAAAGACAATGGAGGACGTCGCTACTTACAAACAAAAGTGCAATTCCGGACGAGATAAGGTGTCGATTTACAGATAAAACGCAAATTTGTATTGTTTAAAGAATTATGACTAACATTAATATTTATATCGTCGAATAAAATACCTGATATGCGCTCTCTTCTATCAATTGTAAGAAAAAAAAATTTATATATACAGAGATTAAGCTAAGTTATAGAAACGTTTCTTAAATCTGTGGAGGATAAGTGAAGAATTTTTGCTTGTTTCCGTTGTATTTCCAATGGAAACAAGCAAAATTTTTTTATTGAGCACACAGAAAACTTATTAAATTGTTAAATTATATTAAAAATATAAGTTTTTATGTATAAAATATCACAATTTCCACCTCTCTCTTAGGGTAGAAATGATTTAAAATGCTATTGTGTTATCGTTTTTAACTGGATTGTTTTGAGATTTCTATCACGATATTATCTTTAATTTCCGAATTTAACTTAAAATTTAAGTGGTTGTGTGTTTGCAGATGTTACGAAATCCGTTTAGGGTTTTTTCCCCCTAATGGATATCGTTAACGCCCAGTTTTCTGATCTACTAAACACTTTTGTCGTTGCCGCGGTTTCCATAGGGATTTTACTTCTTCCGAGAATTGTTTCTCTCGGTCTATTAAGTGTAGCAGCGCTGATGGATTCATTTCACAATCCGAAACACAGTAAAAGTTCTTAATTTACGCACATGGAATATAGCAGACGTCCCTTTTTCTCGTTCGAATTTTTCTTCTCTCTCGGCGATCATAAACGAAAAGGCGCGCAACGATCTCGCAAATTGATGCCAGGAAATACGAATCTTCTGCCGTATTTTTTTGTTAAAATAAATTAAGTTTCCTTCTAACAAGATCTGTAATTAGTCATTTAGTTACTAAAATTGACGGCGAGTATTTTGTCTGGACGTTGGAAATGCGCGAGAGAAGAGAGAAGCTGGTTATTAGTTTGTTGGCCGGCTCGCGCGAGAGTTTTGTTTTAAAGTATTTGGCGATTTTTGCAAAATTATTTTTCGTGGAGAGCAGTTATCAAATTTGTGACCGAGTATTGCATTTCATTGGAGTTGCAACGCTCGAGTGCGGGCGATGTAACATCTGTCGCTCAGGTAGGCCTCGGTCACACCTGAGTGCCGACGCCAGTGTCAAATAGAGCGCGTGTGAGGTAATTGGGAGGGAGGAGAACGGAGGGAGTCACTAACGGTCCCTCTTACTTCCGGTTGTTGTTCTTCCATACGAATCAACGGGGTGGCCAACAATAGTATCATTGTCTGCACAATATAGGCGTAACAGTAATGTTTATTTGGTCGCATTTGGACCAGGTGCAATCTTACTCCCATCGAAAACACAACTAGACGACTGCTGACGTTTCTCAAGCTTAAACAATTCTATGCAAGAACAAACGAATAAAATAATGACAAAAAACCCACTCCAGTTTATGTTTATATTCAGAAGAGTTTATCATTATCATGCGTGCATCTCGTTAGATTATTCTTCCAGTGGAACATTTCGAGTTAAATATTCGCCCTAATTATAGATGATAAGTAAATTAAATTAAAAGCAAAATATGCTATTATAAAGTGTACAAGTTCCTTTTCTTTTATGGGTTTAACGCCTATAAAAGAATTCCATTTTGACTAAGTGGTTTGTCATGCTGCACGTTTGCATGTCTACGCGCTGTGTACTATAATCGCAAACTATTAAATTTATACAAACTTTATTAAAAGTGGCATTAATCTCGACCATTCATTTCGGCGGTGTTATTGTCTGTAGCTTCGTCTTTAATTCCGCACTTATCAGTGAAGATTGAACTTTGACCTCTACGCGACCTCTTCTTTCCGTTCTTTCTATCGTACGCGCGCGGGGAGATGATCGCCATGGTAACGGTTAATGACAGCACCACCCGTCACGTAGGGGCAAGGGGCGGTGACGTCATTTGGCAAAATGACGTCATGCAGTTCAGGTGAGTTTGGACAGAAAGACGGAACGTGGGCAGAGTCGAAAGCGTTGCGTCTTTAGCAGAGACAAACAACTATGTTGACACTGGAGTGCTGTACGTTTTGCGCCATGTCAACAATGTTTGTTGCCCCGGCAACCGTGCAAGGTATGGTATGTGTATAGAGAGCATGCAATTAGGCCACCAGATCGGCCTAGCGCGTCAAAGAACGAATGGGGAGGGAGGGAAGACAAAGAAACGTTTTAAACCGCCGACTACGACTATGCAAAGGCCAGTGCTCACGCAATGTATCGACTAGGCACGCAAAACGTAACGAAGAAAAGTGTGTTGCATTACATCTGACATTTAGACGGCCACTTCCTGTTTAGATTGTTTCCAACACAAACCATTTTATTTACTTGCAGGGGACGGGGGAGGAAAATGTAGTTTGATGGATACTACTGGGACATTTCGGGTTCCGTTTCCACAGATTAGAAAGCGGCTAAAGAGGTGGCGGACACAACTGCCACTCGCTACTATGGTAACAGAGAGAGACACAAAAACGCTTTGCCACTCGCGCACGCGTCGGTCACCGTCGGACGCTTTGCTTTTTTGTTTTTTGTCTTTGTATAATTTAATTGGCGTCCGAACAGGTGGGCAATGTGCAGTGGCAGGTAAAAGCCAAGTCGAGGCGGCACAACCACGTGCTATCTAAATGAATATCGACCGTACACGTGACTATTGGCTATCGTCTGCTGGGTTGACAGCGCAGCGCATCTCGGGTCATGGAAGAGGACGGAGGGAGAGAGGCCCCGGGTGCCTCTAGGGTGCAGTCCCCAAGCCGGAAAGCTGGGCGGCCAGCTCCATGTGGGTGCAAACCTTGCTTTGCCATCAGCAGGGAGAGAACAATAGCAGACCAAGGCGCCCGCGCCGATATCCCACTCGAGCTGGCGCTTGCGCAGAGCAGGCAGGCGGGCTGCGTGCGCAGTTGACCGTCCAACATGGCGTCGAGATAGACGTAGCAGGCGTTGTGTGCCGTCCACTAGCGTCCTCACAATGGGTAGCGAGGTCCAATCACAGGTCTTTGGACTCCGTGTACGGTAAAGTGTTGGGGGGGAGGTGTGCACCGGCGTCATATGATTGTCATTAAACCTCGCAAATCATGGAAACGTCCGGAGTTGAGAGGCAACAAATCACAGAGCCAGACGGCGTCGAAGAACCCACAAGGGTTGGGTCAGTGAGTAGTCTCGATAGCGGGGACCCACCAGACCTCTTGCCTGCCGAAGTTCTAGAGGCCGACCACGCCACCGCTATGATCGACGCCAGCGACTTTCGTGCACTCGCCGAGCCCACCTACCAGACTTTGAACGGTCGCATGTCACCAGCAAGTTTTGGTGCTGCAAGCAGTTACGCAACTTTAACGCCGCTTCAACCTCTGCCTCCTATTTCCACCATGTCTGACAAGTTCTCCCATTACGGACACCACCATGCCGGTAACGTGAGTGGAAGTTTCACCTTGATGCAAAACAACGCTCTCGGAATGGGAATGAACAGTTACCAATACGACAAACTGGGAACCATGGCCGGAATGAACATGAGTCCTACCTTGGGTGCCACACACCATTCTGCCATGTCTATGATGACCGCCAACGGTTTGGGTGGACAGCAGGCGGGCATCCCTTCGCCTCCCTACTCACAGAACGGTCTGCATTCACCCGAAAAAAACATGTCTCCAGGTGGGTATGAACCTTATCCTCATCGAGATCTCAGTCGCAGTCTCGGGTCACCCCAAAGTCCAACTGTCACCCTACACACTCCCACTTCTATGATGACGACCCTCAACGGTCTGAATGCACCTCACACACCTCCTTCTAGTCATTTAGCCACACCTGGTACACCACCCGGTCTCCACGATATCAAGCCGGCCACAAGTTTGACAGCACCAACTCCGGTTTCGGCTATCAGTTTGGCCACTCCTCATCATCCGGGTCTAGGACAAGGTCAGGTACAGTCGGCTGCCCTTCAGAACACATTGGTGCAAGCCGTGGCACCCCCCAACCCTTCGGTGGTGAATCACATCAAACCCGGTGCTTCCCAGCAAAGTAATAAAGCACCGACAGCCGATGACGTCGAGGAGATTAACACCAAAGAATTAGCACAGCGGATTAGCGCAGAACTTAAACGTTATAGCATTCCTCAAGCCATATTTGCACAACGGGTACTATGTAGGTCACAAGGAACCCTCTCAGATCTGCTGAGAAACCCTAAGCCTTGGAGCAAGCTGAAATCGGGACGAGAAACGTTCCGAAGAATGTACAAGTGGCTGGAGGAACCCGAATTTCAAAGAATGTCTGCGCTGAGATTAGCAGGTAAGCCCTTTTCCGTCCTACCTTAGTATCAAAAGCATATGTATATTTATATATTTTTATATCCAACTTAAAGAACTGCTGCAGCCAAACATGTGCTACTACACTAATAAAAGAATTAAAAGACTTTCTTTTTTATTACATAAGATACTTTTTATAATAAGAACGAAATTATAGTTTAGTTATATCACGCTTTTCTCTCAATATATCATTTCATCTGACACTTTAAGGTAAGATAATCTCTTGCATAACTCATATTTCACAAGTGTATGCCTAGAAAATGCATTAAAGTGAGTCAGTTCGCGTGACTGTTGGTCCGTACAGTCGGCCGATCTTTCTGTGTAGTCGACCAGCTTTCGCTAAAGTGTGACGACATTCACTATTGTCACATTTAACACGATCGATCTGCAAAGCATCACGGAGATTAAGAATAATAATTTTGTATTTACTCAAGAACTACTGTTTGAATAATATTGGATTAGGTTTCCGTACTTGTAATACCTCGCTAAATTTTCGATAAGAACAAAATTCTTTTATAAAAAATTAATAATAATAATAATAATAGGCGTCAAAAACGTGTATGAGCTGCATAACTTCTCGTCGGGCTCGACGGAGAACACACATTTACAGGGGAGAGTTCTAGCCATGTTCCTATGATTGTCCGGTTACGTTACGTTTTTATTAATTTATCATAGTCAAAATATATGATAGATAAAGTTTTTTCACGCGACTTTTCGAAAAATATTTAGATCGGTATATAAATGGAAGAGTTTTTTTTTATTATTTTTTTGTTTAAATGTCGGTCGACCAAACATCTTTCCTATCCATTCTTTAGTCAAACTTTCCGTGAACACGATTTACTTTTAAAAAGTCTAACGAGCAGCGAATGTTTTCCGCTGTCTTTTTAAGAAACAAACGTTGGAGTAGAAGTAACGACTCGCATCATCGAACACAACCGAATTTTCTTCCCTTTTGGTCGTTCTCACATCAACCCGCGTCACTTTTACTCAGTCGAGCTGTTCATCCAAGGAAAAAAAAAAGAGCAGGAGGAGGAGAGAGAAAAAGTTTCGGTCACCGTGACATCTTTCGCTTCTAGGTGCGTTTTCCAAGCTAATTTTATTATCATAAACGGTGAGAAAATACCAGGAAAAAACAGAGCGCAGATTTCGGCTTCCTTAAATATACAGCACATTAAAGAATCGAGTATAGGAACAAATGCTGGAAATCCTTCGCTCTTCCTACCAATCTATCCACTGGGGACAGAAATGGTAAGCGAGAAGGTGGTACAGAAATAGAAAAAAAAAAGTAAAGTTGTAGGGGTAAATATTTCACGTGAACTTCCCCTTCGGAGTGACAGGAGTTTAAGGAACACAGTGTCTGGGAGGAGACCGTGTTTAGGACGTGATCCAGTGACAGTCTAGAAACGGTGGCATGATTAATGCTCCGAAGGCTGGCAGTGGGAGACAGAGAAAAGAATGGCTGTCACACGATGGAAAGCGACGCGGGAGACAAGAATTTTATTGTGAGGAAGCATCTTTTAGCGGTTAGGATTTAAGTAGGCGCCGTTGTTTTCCATAGCGAGACGTTTCTTGCCCCTTCAAGACGTCTCTTCCTTTGAACTTTGTAGCGATGCGGAGAAACGACCTTTACAGGGGAACTCCGCTATTGTTCTTGTTCCCAGGACTAGCTCGCTTGTAATTTATTGCCTGCAACTTTACTACCACCTTTTCCTCCCCGCAGTTTATTAACCCTACCTCTAGCCTTCTTCTTCACTCTTGTATGTTTACTGGACAATACATTCCTACACGTATTAAGCTCTTCTTTTTTTCCTCTCCCTAAATAAATTCATCTTTTCTGTTAACACGTTTTAAATCTCTCGATATCACTATTATTTAAAGAAAAAAAAAAGCATTTTACACCTAATGAAAATTCAAATTATTCGCAATAAATTCACAGTTTTTAAAATATTTGTTAAACAAGAAGGTAAAATTAATTTACACGTAAAAACATTTACTACTGCACATTACCAGAAACAATATTATTTTAAATAAAATTACCCTAATTTAATTATATTTACAAAATTAACTAAAACACTCCACTTTTTAAAAAATTCGCTTTTAATTAAATATAATATAAAGATGGAGAAGGGGAGAGAATTATATATATACATATAAGCTGTAAGAAGGGGTTAAAGTCGGATGAGAAATATTCTATATATATATAAAGGGAGAACAAATGTGTGGTGGGAACATACACAGCGGCTTTCGACTACAAACGGGTTCCCCCTTTAGCTAGAATCACGTGACTACACGGGCGTATCTGAGCTAGCGTTCTCCACCCCGCACAGGGAGGAAGTAAAGCTAACTAGTCCCTCACCCACCCACCAGTCCTTGTCACTTGGATTGATATATGAGTCAGCTCTGGGAGAGTTGTAGGACTGGGAGGGGGCAGCAGGTGTCGCTGCTAAGTGGGATTACTAGTATTATCCTCTTCTCAGGGTTTTGTACGTTCAGAACTGGTAATAGGGGGCACCCTTCTACCTTGTCGTCAGTGCAAGAATAAGAGTGAGAGAAAAACTTTCTTCTTCTACTGATTTTTTCTTGGCATTGTTTATCATTTATCTCCGAATTTTTCTTTTTTTTTTTTTATCTTGGTCTGCAGCATCGCTTTGTTGTTGTTATCGTTGCAAAACACACAGATGCTAAATATCACTTAACTTTTTTTTATCATCGTCGTCTTTCCCCCAAAAAACTTTAATATGGAGTAATTTGTGCTAATCTTGTGTAGGTCCATCCGTCTACTTTTTTTTTCTAGTTAAATAGTTCGAAAAATATTTAATTGTTTCCTGGTTTTCGGCCATTCCTCGATATCAGAATGCGTGGAATTACGAGTGACAATCATCGTTTCTACTTTAATAATTAAAAAAAAAAAAAAAGTCAATTAAACCGATTATATCGTTGCATTTTATAAAATTTTCAGCAATTTTTGATAGAGAAAAGATATGAAAAATTGTGCAAAAAAGATTCCTATATCGAAGTTAAACAGTCCTCACGGCATCTGCCAGAGGGTAAGGAGAGCGTGCACAACTAAACAGGACAGGTAGATGCCCAGTATTTGCAGAGAGTGAGGCCCGTTCTCCAAGTCAAAGTAGAAACTTTCAGCAAAAATCTCTGTAAAGAAAATGGGGAAAGAAATATCTTTTCCCCACTTCTTCCTTCCCCTAGGGGAGTTGCCGGAAGGAAAGGCTGCAGGCCATCCCTGACTAGTCAACCCCCTGGGGAGCTTTGAAGGGCGTGGGGAACTCGGTTTGACAGAACCTGCGATCTTTAAATATTCCGTTTTGCTATATTCAATAGAGAGAGACTCGCTCGCTCTGTTGGTCAGAAACCTGCGCTCTCTTTAATCTGCTATAATTTGAGGTGCCCCGATGACGTCAACGTCGACGTCCCCCTTTAAGAATGTTGGTCGTTGCTGCCGTCGATGACCTATTTATATTTAAAGTCTGTTATTGTCGCTCTAACACTGAATTGTTGCTTTTATTACTTATGAGTACAGTTATTGATGTACAGTACAGTACGTTACGCTTCCGTTACTCTTAATTAAGCTCAGATGATTCTTATAAATATCATTTATTAATTTTGTTTTTTAAATTCATTTAAGACAGAATTGTTACTGCAGTTGAACAGTTATCGCTGTAACCGTTACTTTCTCTGTAACGTAACGGTCTGTTACGTTGTTAAAAATTACATAAATTAATACTAGAGAAGTAATTAATTGCATAAAAACATTGCAAAAAGTATAATTTTTTTTCGTTTTAATATATTATTAACATTGTTTTTATAGATATAACGTAGCGATTTTATCAGAACGTAACTTCAGTAACGCTAATAGAGTTACGATTTAGAACAATTAAGCATTAAAATAAAAAAAAATTATAAATTACTGTCTTTCTTCGTGTTACTACAGTGTTAATAATTCATAACACAGTATAAAATTGTTGCTACAAAAGCATAACACGTAACACACAGCTACAGTTATAATTTTTGTTGCAAAAGGAACAAAACTCTTATCAAATCTACAGACTTATATACAAGAAAAACGTAACAGAATAATAATAATATAAAAAAAAAATCGTAAACTTACACTACTGCACTAATTATTATCCCCACAGTGTAGCAGATTTGTTGTTATATAAGTAATTATCCTTAAACACTAAACGGATGCACGTATAGTTACAGTATTAACGCTGTGTTAAATCGCCCGAAAAATATTACTGTATTAGTAAACTAGTAACGAGTGAAAGTTATTATTGTAGCTGTAAAGCATGGAATTGCAGCTAATTTGTAGGGTAGAAGGACTTTTGCTATTACAGTAACATTAACATTATAAATTTCACCTTTAGCCATTTCCGCACACGAATCTACTAATCTATTTGTTAGAGGGGGTAGGAAAACTTTTTACCATTAATCATTTAACATTGTTATTATTATTATTTTTTTACATTATTCATAAACAATAATAATATTTTCAGCATATTGATAACGTTTTTTAAAACAAACTTATATAAATTACGTCACGCTAAATGTCGGTAGAAGATAGCACGGCATGTATCTAATCACCTTGACGTCACACCGTACACGTATAACACATATAAGTTACAGCATTGTGAAACAACACAAGCAGCAGCAGCAGCAGCAGCAGCAGCAGCAGAGGCTATGTTAATGTAGTAGTAAAATTGGCGTGACGTCACCGCATTAGTAGAACAAACAGAAAATTATGTTAACTATAACACGAAGGGAAGAAAGAGAATGTGTATAAATATATATATTTTTTTATATTTTATGAGTGACGATCCGGCAAGGAGAGATACGACACAGGGAAAAGAAAAAAAAAAACACATCCCTACGACATCATGGGACACATTAGCTACGTCATCTTCGTTTCAGAACACGTGATTTCTGCCCGGATTAGTGAAGTAACATTTCTGTAATTGGTTTGCTCCC